CTGAATTCCACAACTTTCTCACTCTAATAGCTCCAGCCAACAAACACTTCATTCCTTGTCTTCTTGACCTATTTGCAGCAATACTGACTGAATCCTCCTTCCCAGAAAATCGCCTTCCTAAGTTTCAACGCCAGCGTTCTCTCCTGGTTCTCTTCCTACTCTCCAGACTATTCCCATTGACACAGTCTCCTGCTCCTTAAATGTTAAATGTTTTCAATGGCTTAGTGATCAGTCTCCCCTCATCTTCTCAATCCATGTGTTCTCACCATCACTGCGCAACCAACTCTTCTACTATGGATTAAGTCCAAACTCTTCTGAATTCCAGACCCACATGTTCAACTGCCCCTGGACATTTCTACCTGGATTTCCCATACGTACCTCAAATCCAACATGCTAAAAATGGAAATCACTTCTCTTTCCCCTGCTTCCTACCTTCTCCCTCAAGGCATATTTCTGTCTTAGACAGGCATCTTGGTGAATGGCACTGCCCAACTAATCAAGCCAAAACTCCCCAGTTTTCTTAGACTTTTCATTCTTCCACAATATGTCTAATTAATCACCAAGTATGTCTCCTATTTGCATGCAGTACAGCAACTTTCTGATCTTACTGTAATTTAACTGTCCCCCTCCTCCCTGCAAATCCGTCCTTCAGGGCTATCCTTCGGGAACACAAAAATCAAATTCCTGGCTTAAAATTTCCTAAAAATTCACTCCCTATTACGCCACCCTCCGGACAAAGTTCATCGCGTGGCATTAGCCTCCCCCCCACCCCCCGCCCCCCTCCTTCTGCTTCAGTAATGCTAAATTTCTATGGTCTCTCCTCAAAGGAAAACCCTTTCTGTTCAAGTCTCCCTCCATGGGATACTCTCCCCAACACCACAACACCCCATAATCCATCAACTACCAGTTCAAATGCATAACTTCTCTTGGGATGCCTTCATGAATTCATCCAAGAAACAGAGACCCTCCATCATCTACTGACTATATGCTGTAAGTATAAATTTATTATACTTCTTACGATATTATATTATAATCACCTCTCTCATCTTAAGAGGGCTGGCTTTTTTTTGTCCCAAGTGCCCAACATAACATCTCCACTTAGAGATGGTATTCAAAATATACTTATTAAATGAATGGAATAAAGTAGGGGTCAGCAGGGGCACCTGGCTGCCTTGGTTGGTAGAGCATGAAACTCTTGCTCTCAGCGTTAAGTTCAAGCCCCACGTTCAGTGTAGAGATTACTTAAAGAAATTTTTTTTAAAGATTTTTTTTTTTTAAGATTTCATTTATTTGAGAGAGAGAGAGAGAGCAAGAGAGAACACAAGCCAGGGTGAAGGGCAGAGGGCGAAGCAGACTCCCCGCTGAGCAGGGAGCCTGATGTGGGACTCGATCCTGGGATTCCGGGATCATGACCTGAGCTGAAAGCAGATGCTTAACTGACTGAGACACCCAAGCACCCTTTTTAAAAAGATTTTATTTGAAAGAGAGAGAGAGCGTGTACGTGAGCACGAACAGAGGGGAGGGGCAGAGGGAGAGGGAGAAGCAAACTCCCCGCTGAGCAGGGAGCCCGACATGGGGACTTAATCCCATGACCCTGGGATCATGACCTGAGCCAAAGGCAGATGCTTAACTGACTGAGCCACCCAGGCACCCCTTAAAAATAAAATCTTTAAAAAAATAAGTAAAATCAAGTAGGCGTCAGCAAACCATGGCCCATGGGCCAAATGTGGCCCACTACCTGTTTTTGTACAGCCTGCTAAGAATAGTTTTTACATTTTTTAATGTTTAGAAAAGAAATAATTTTTAAGAATATTTGGTGATGCCTAAAAATTATATGAAATTTAGATTCCAGAGTCCATAAAGATTTTTTGGATCATAGCCATGCTCACTTGTTTATGTTTAGTCTTATGGCTGCTTTCATACCTCAACAGCGTAGAGTAGCAGCAATGTAGGCCATATGGCCCACAAAGCTGTATTTGCTATAGCTTGTACAGAAAAAAGTCTGCTGACCTCCAAGTGAAATATAAATGAACATGGGTTTTGGTTTCTGACAGAACTTGGTTCAAATCCTGGCTTTACCACTTACTATCTGTGTGACCTAGCACAAATAACCCAACCTTTCTGAGATTCAATTTCTTAATTTGTAAAATGGGTTAACATATCTTGCTGGGTTGTTCTGAAATTTTACTAAGCCTTTTAATCAGGGTCCCTGCTGTAGGAACCAGTCTATAAAGTGCTCAGTACAGAGTTAGTTATACTTAATGTTAAGAAGTCAGGCCCTGGGGCGCCTGGGTGGCTCAGTTGATTAAGCCTCTGACTCTTGATTTTGGCTCAGGTCATGATCTCAGGGTCATGAGATCAAGCCCAGCATCGGGTCTGCTCTGGGTGTGAAGCCTGCTTGGGATTTTCTCTCCCTCCACTCTCCTCCCAACCACCCCTTCCCCGCTCATACTCTAGCTCTCTTGGGAAGAAAGGGAGGGAAGGAGGGGATAAAGGAGGGAGGGAAGACCACATCCTCTGAAAGACCTTCCTGACCACTCTTAAAAATAGCCACACAGATCACTCCATTACCCTTCCAACATATTCAATCCTTACTGCCTCACTCTCCTTTACTTTCTTGAGAGTATTTATCATGAGTCAAAATTATACTACAGGTTTCTTTTCTGCCCTCTTCCTCCAATTAAAATGTAAGCCCCACAATGAGAACTTCTTATCTTTCATTACTCTATCCCCAGTTTCAAATACTGTGTGCCTACTGGCACAGTATTTATTGAGTGAATGAATTTTCCCAGTTTTTTTTTTTTTTTTTAAGATTTATTTATTTGACAGAGAGAGACACAACGAGAGAGGGAACACAAGCAGGGGGAGGGGGAGAGGGAGAAGCAGG